AACACCCCGCATATTTAAACCAAATTGGCCCCCCTTGTTTTTTTTTCTTTTTTTTTTTTTTTTTTTTTTTTTTTTTTTTTTTTTTTTTTTTTTTTGCATTTTTTTTTTTCAAACGCCTCTGCTTCCTCTTCGTTTATGGCTGCGGATTGATTGTTCACAGAGCTGGTACGTGCTGGTTTGATTCAGTGCAGTATGACTACAACCCATCATGATTGTTTTTTTTTTGAAGCTCGTACGCATCTCTGGACTTTGAAACCTGTCAATTGTGGTAGCTTTTCAGTGTGTGAGCTCCCTGCATATACCAGCCGCAGCAACATGGAGCATTCAGCTTCGGGGGAAAAAAAAATGAGAAGACTTTGCACTTTGTTAAATGGCTCCAGTCCAGCTTATTTACATCCTCCATGTAGCTACGCAGAACAGCAGCGTTTGCACAAGAGGGAGTGGTGTTTGTGTAATGTTTACCTGCTTTATTGAAGCCCGGAGTGGAGCAGGAGGGCTAAAATAATTGTTTTTCCTCATGTTTAGCGCAGCCTGTTACAGCATGTTCCCAAGCCGTCCGATATATTCAGCTTCTGTCTTAATTTTAATTTTGAATGTGGTCATTTTTTATTTATTTATTTATTTTTTTATTTTTTTACTTTGAACTTGACACAGTTGTCACTCGCTGTCGGGTTTGGGAAGAGTAAAATAAACTTTGCATGACAGTGATTAAAGATCAAATCTATAGGTCTGGTCTGTTGCCGGGCTCACATAAACACTGTAAACAGTGGCGTGGAGTGGGCTTGCTGGTGCCACTTCTACAGCCACAAAAAACAAAAAAAGTAAATAAACTATCAGGGCATGCTAGACTCAGAGAGAAATGCTTCCTTTTGGGTCATCCCTCCTCCTCTCCCTGGGGAAGGTGGCCGCACGCTGGGAGAAAACAGCGCTTCCCCGGTGTTTCAGCACCTCTGGGCTGGACAGCGCTCACTTTGCGCTGTAGCATCCCTGCGTCCCACCCACAGCACTGCATGGGCGTCATTGGAGCAGAGAGCAAAAACTGCAACATGCAAACGAATAAATTAAGCCAAGAAATCTCGAGCCACAGTGCATGCATTATATGCATGCAAGATGTTTTATTTTAGTCCTCAAATATTTGTGTCTAATATTCAGGTCAAAGCCATATTACCTTTGCAAACTTAATGCAAATTAAGTTTAATTTCAAGATATTTTTTTAATACTATGAAAAATTGAGGGTTTTTTCTTCTTTTTAATCCAAATGCCAAAATTTCCTTTTTTAATCACCAAGCTAGACATTTGACTCTGCAGGCTGGTTTAAGGCATGAGTCATCTCTACAATCCCATGTGTTGACGTGTTTATTACTGCTTCAGAAAAAAAAAGTAAAGTAAAAATTTAGATTTTATATAACATATCAGAAAACATTTTTTTAAAAATAAAACTTATACCAAATTATTGTAATTTCTCTCTAGTAATTGTAACCTTGGAGTTCAGGGGCTGGTGATTTTTGTCAATATAATTAATCAGGTTTCTTTTCAGTGGCTGGTTGAGATTATGACAACACAAACTAAGCCAGGGCTCTGTTTCTTGCATTGCTAATATGGGTGAGTCATCTCAGTAATTCCCATCTGCTCACAAAAGCCTTTTTAGTTTATTCATGATGGGCTGTTTTAAGTTGATTTGAAGTACAGTCTGATCCTGCAGAAGAAAACTTTGGTGAAGAAGCTTAACATGTGAACAACATGCTGTTCATCATCGTCCTTCTCTCTTCTACAGAGTTTTATGTTATACTCTCATTAAGGATACTATTAATTCTTGAGGTATATTAACTTCATTCTTTCAATTTATAACATATTTATACACTTTATATAATCATTATTTAGAATTCTTAAGGGATTATTTAGCATTTACGTAAGGGATATTTAAAGATTTACCCAGCAATGTTTTTAACCCTTTTTTTAACCATGCTACTCTAAAGATTAAATCATTATGCAAATCTGAAATTGTACCCAAATCACTAAAAACTAATAAATACTTTTTGCTTCTGCAATTTGTTTTTAGAGACCACAATGAAAGAAAAGAAAATCAACAGTAGTCCGTAGTCCTGGATGTTTGCATGCTTCCTCAACTCAAAGTCATCATGGAAAAATCCTTGGATCTAAACAAAGCCGGCTCTCGGTCGACATCATCCCTGCCACCTGAGCCATTGGACATCATCCGCAGCAAGTCGTGCTACCGCCGAGTCCGGCTGAACGTCGGGGGTCTCCCGCACGAGGTGCTGTGGCGAACATTGGACCGGCTGCCTCGGACTCGTTTGGGGAAACTGAGAGACTGCAACTCCCATGACTCTCTGATGGAGGTGTGTGACGACTACAACCTGGAGGAGAACGAATACTTTTTCGACCGACACCCAGGGGCTTTCACGTCCATCCTGAACTTTTACCGCACGGGCAAGCTGCACATGATGGAGGAGATGTGTGCCCTGTCCTTCAGCCAAGAGCTCGATTACTGGGGCATTGATGAGATCTATCTGGAGTCCTGCTGCCAGGCGAGGTACCACCAGAAGAAGGAGCAGATGAACGAAGAGCTGAAGAGAGAGGCTGACAATTTAAAAGACAGAGAGGGAGAGGAATTTGACAACACCTGCTGTGCAGAAAAACGGAAGAAGCTGTGGGATCTGCTGGAAAAGCCGAGCTCATCCGTTGCAGCGAAGGTAATTTTGAACTGAATGTTGGGTGTGAGCTGAGCATATGACCGATGTAAGCCTTCTGACATGATTGTAATACAAGCCAACAGACTGACAAACGTGCACAAACAGAAACAAGAGAAGTAAGTTAGTCCAGTTTGGTCTTCTCAGTGAATTTGGATTCTGGGATTACTTTCGATGTTTTTACTGGCTCTACTGTTCCCCTTGAAAGTTTAAGTTTGTATTACTCTATAAACTAATGACAGTTGTAGTAGTTGTAAAGTAGCCTGCAGGTTGGAAGACAAGAAAGTAAATAAGAAAACCTTAGAAACTGGATTCTAAGTAATAAAATTGAATTCAATGGGTAATTTAAACAAGCAAATATTTGGGTGTGAATATACAACTATTTGTATAAAAATCATATGTTTCATGTTATTTGGAAAGTATTGCTAAAAAGTAAGTTCAAGCTGTTATTTTTAATCCAACAGCATGTCAATAAATTAGGATTCCATCGAAAAGGTAATATATTTCTGTTAGCTAATTCAAAAACTTAAACTCATGTAGAGATTCAGGTGATCATTAATCAAGGGAATTTCGAAAAGCTGTGGAGAAAAACAAAACAGAGAGACTCGGGGAAGGCAGACAACTAACTACAAACCAGGGGTGAAAGACGCTGATCTAAGAGAAATACATCAAAAAAGCACAAAGAACAAAACACTAGAAATTAACTAAAAACTGAACACAAGGAATTAATGTTTTTTTTATGTGTGGTAAAACCCTGAAAGCATTAATAAACAACTGAATGTGACAAGTCTGTATAATAAAATTAAATTGACCGAATTACTAAACTAAATTTACTTTTCACAAAATTCTAATTTGCTGAAATGCACCTGAATATAAGAGAAAAAGAGTTCATACAAGCAGCATAGCAGAGCAGAAATAAAACCAATTTGTTTTCCACACTTACTTGCATTCACATTTAGTTTTTGGATGGGTGTCTTCATCCCACTGATCTCTGGATATTCATCAGCAGACTTGCTGCAACATTTTGGCATTGCCCTCAGACTCACTAGACAGTCTGCAAAGAGAGTCTCAGATTGCTTACTCAGTAACGAAGACTGTTTGCCTCAACCCTTCATTTAACATGAGTATTACATGCAGCTTTTCTACACTTAGTGAGATACAATGCTTAAGAACAGATGGAAAAAACTCAGCTTTAGTTCTTAATCATTTAACTTTTGAAGGATTTTGCGTTTGATATTTGACTGTGTATATATTTCTGTGCATGTAAAAAAAAAAAAAAAAAAAAAATCAGCATGCAGCCATCCTGTTTTTTTTTTTAAAGTGTGGGAATGAAAGGATGTAATTTCCAGTTCAATCCTCCTGTGAAGAAGGTAAATCAAATGCAGTAACTTTCAATATGGTGTTTACCGATATCACTGTGTTAAATTGCCACGTTACAGTTATTTGCAGTTGTATGTGATTTTATTTTATTTTATTTTTTTTTTCACTAAGTCGAACTAAGCTTCGCTGCTTTCAGAGACACATCCTCCCTACCTTTAAAAACACACTCACCTGCCTTATATTTGATGTTGTGAGTTCTGTTGCGTGCTCTGAATCTATAAGGCTCGTCTTGGAAATGTCTGACCTGAAATTGGATTGTAACGCATCATAAACGTGGTGCTACAAAGGCATCAGCGGTGTGGTCCACTCTTAAACCTGTTTAATGGAGCCAGGTGTTAAAACACTGCAAAGAGTCATTCAGTAAAATCCCTCCGTTCCGAATAACTGTGTTTTATGTGGCTGTGCACTGCTAGAAGTTTAAAGCTACTCAAATAACGAGGGGAAGATAGGTGGCTGCTGTTCTATGCTGAGCAAAAAAGAGTTTTGCTTTTCTGAATGTGCTGTTTGATTGTCGCTTTCTAATTAGGAGAGTGGGAATACACGTTTACTTAGTGTTGCATGGATGGATGATTAGTATGGAAAACTATGATTTTTCTTTTCATTTTAAATGTTCTTTTTTCTATACTTATGCAGATTTAGAAGATGCTTAAATCAAATTCCTAACTTATGATTGGTGATTCTTTTTTTTTTCTTCATCTGCAAAACATGTCACTCCCTTACAGTGAGGAGGTAGAAATGTATCTGTTTTGTACAGATACTCAATATGTACACTTTTAAGAACTTTTTAATCAGCAGGTAATTAGCAGATATTAGGTATAAAAAGACCAAAATAAATCATGTATGAGGTTTTAAGTATGGCATATGCTGTACAGCTCAAATGCAGAAGAAGCAAATTTGTTAAAGGAAAGCGTGTAAATATAAAAAGCTGCAACAGCCTTGTTGCATAAGTGTGCACACCCTTTTTATTTTTTGAAGCACTCTCTGATTTGATTTCAGTCTTCTTGAAGTCACAACTGCAATCAATCACAGACAATCTCATGAACCAGGAGTGAATTTCAGCCACCTGTTCCTGCTGACTAATCCGGAGAATGCAAAGGAGCTGGGGAAGAACCTGAGCAGGGAAAACTAAGGGAAGGAGAACTAAACAAGGCACAAGATAATGAAACTAAACCAGAAATTAAAGATTGAAATTGGATACAAAAAGAGCAAAACACAAGAAAGAACAAAGAAACACAAGACAAAAAATTACAAAGTATTAGTGTAATAATCCATACACAAAACCAAGAGAGAATAAAAATCAGACATTGACTATGACATAACATGAAGCAACATTTTTTTCAAAGGAAGCATCCAGGGCTGACTAAAATCTCCCAAAGTTTTGTTGAAGAATACTACCAAACTTAAAATTTTAGCCAAAAATCACCACAGACAAAGTGAATTTTAGTGATAATTTTTTTTTCATAATTTTACACCAATAAATTAGTTTGCTTTCAATTTAACTGACTGAATCTGTGTCACACTGAAAGTAGGAAAAGTCTTGAATTAATTTATTTTACATACAAAACATTACATTTTGAAAGGAGTTAATAAATGTTTTTATTCACTGTACATTCACTAGTAGTTCAATATAACTAAAGGAAGGGAGGTAAAGACACATGACTTACAGTAGGTTAGTTGTTCTGAATGACCTGTTGTTATTGTTATTGTTATTGCTATCATTGTCTACAAGCATATTTTAATGTTCTCTCAGTGTAAAAGGAATCCTGGATCATTTATAATGTATAACCAGAAATGTTCACTCTCTGTTATCATTATTGAAGAACTTATCTCGACTGTGTGGATGTGCAGCTATTAGCCATCTTAATTACCATCTCATCAAAACATAATATGAAAATCATTGTCTGTATCTCCAGTAATGGATATATCAAATCTACATCAGCCTGCTTTTATAAAATTAATCTCAATTTATCTCTTCCATGCTGCAGAACTGCTATGCACATTGAAACAGAGCTGAAAATGCACACGTGTATTCTTTTTTTTTTAATGCAAATAATGTCAGTACTTGTGCGGAAATGTGACAATAACCAGAAATAGAATAAGGCGCTCATGTGACAAGCATACTTTTTATTTATGAAACACAGTGTACCTTATATTTTCTAATGTACAGGAGAGGCAGGAAAGAAACAAAGGTTAGTTGGTAGTTGCAGAGTTTAGCTCATGATTCATTCAGTTATTATGAGATAAGCAGTCCGATCATGTTGCTCAAGCACTTTCTAAGTGATACATTTAAAACACTGAGCAGCTGCTTCAAGTTGAAGCACATGTGGCCGTGTTTTGATATGAAGCAGAGTTCGGTTGAATGAGTCTCTGTAGTTTTTTTCCGGTCATTGGTAAAATTACATCTGATTCCTCATATCGGCTGTGCTCAACCTTAGTCAAAAGACGATTGGTTCTGCCCTCGGCTGGCCATTCAAGACAAGCCTGCAACTGTAACCTTTGTATCATGACAAAAAACCTTTGATCATGTCTTCAAGGTCTGATATTTATGAGAAATCAAAGAGCGAATTGTTCCCAGCACCTCTCCCCCCCTCCACGGTAAATGCTGTGCATCATTTTTGCTCTACAGCTTGTACTGCATGGGAAATGAAAATTAAACAATTTGCAAATTGTACTGACTAGTAAGGATTCAGGAGGACTGCCTGCTCTTTGTTGCAAACAAACTCTGATAAGTGCATGTCTGTGAGGGGAAGGCCTTCTTCTGAGGAATCAAAGAAATGCAAAATCAATGTTTATCGTGTTACACTGATGCTGTAGTCTAAAAAAGGGAAGTGATCATCTCGAGTCCAACATCCATTGCCGTATCAGCTCTCATGTTCTCATATCTTGAGTTTAACAGAAATATCGGTGATAAAGCACTTTGTAGTGCTGAAGTAAAATGAGCATGGATCTTCCATCTGCGCAATAATGCAGGTTTCTTCTGTAGAGTGTTTCCTACAGGTCCTAATCATGTTTTCTGGACATTGATGAATGTTGTCAGTCTCTGTTCATATTAGGCCACTAAGTCATATTGGTATTTATAACAGGGCCCCCAGATAAACATCTCTAAAATCCTTCAAAATGCAGAA